GAGAATGCTTTGCCATCGCTGTGTGAATGTGTGTGAAAGGGCAAGTGTGGCATGTAGTGTAAAAGCACTTTGAGTAGTCGGAAGACTAGAAAGGTGCTATACAAGTACAGGTCCATTACCAATTTTAAATAAAATTGTATTTCATTAAATGATCTTAAACACACCTGATTAAACAACTTAACATCTCTACAGCCCAGAGGCTCAATAGAGCATTGTTATCATGATTTTTTTTTTTAGAATGTTCCAAATATGTAGTTCCAAACATGTAAGCTGTACAGTATAATGAAATCTGAAAAACACAATCTACAGTGTTCATTAGCTGGTGCTTATAAATCAAGAGAAAATACAGTAATTACCTAATATTGCTTCAGCCTCCTGCATGTGTGTTGGCATCATTAATCATCTCCTTAAAGAACACATCAGCAGCCAGATGAGGACTCTCTGCTCCCTGACAACATTTATTTGTTCCTCTAGAGGTTCTTCTACTCCTTGTTCCTTGCCATCATTTGTTGATTCCAAAGTGTTTTGTTTGTTCCTGATAAACTGGGCACGAGGAGTATTTTAAGTGCATAGTAAGATGTTTTTCAGTCAGCCGTCTTATCTGCAGGCTCAGATAAAGTCTCTGTGCAGGGTGACAGAAAACACTCCCATCTTTCTTTTCTTGTGCGCCTTTCTTTCCCCATGAGTCTGCTCTGTGTCAGAGGAGCTTGGTGTTATCTGAGAGTGATGGGGTCAGATCAGCACTGCTGCATTCTCCTGTCGCTCTATCAGTTTGTTTAGAGAAAGGCTTTTATCATGGCAGGTATCTGCAGACCAGAATAGACACTGAGATAGATGTGTGGGTGGTTCAGTGTGGTTGGTGTGCTTAATTACAATAAATCTGATCATTTGACTACAACAAGATATGACAACTTTTATTTCATTATGACTATCAGCATCACTGCTTCCATATGTCTCACCCAGTCTAACTGCCCTCCTTCACCAGGAGTCAACTGTGAAATTGAAATAGATGAGTGTGACTCTGGCCCCTGCCGCAACGGAGCCACCTGCCACGATCTGATCGGCATGTACTCCTGTGAGTGTTTGCCCGGGTTCGATGGCATCGACTGCGAGGTCGACGTTGATGAGTGCGCCAGTGAGCCCTGTCAGAATGGAGCTGTTTGTCATGACATGGTTAACAGGTATGGGCCAATTCTCGAGCAATCCCCCTCCACAGGGTCCATTAACCGTGTTGGAATTGCATACATTGGGAATGACTGGAAAGCTTTTTGGAGTCAGCATTCATTATTGGTACTTCATTTTTGACAGGCTTGGGGAGTGAGGGATTACGTGTAACGGAGTTACATAATCAAGATAAAGGTAGCTGTAATCCATCACAGAAATAACGACGTAACCAGATTGCTGTTAGTAAAAAAAATAATTATTACCGGGACTACAATTTTATAATACATTTAAAAAATAAAGAATAATATACTACCATGCACATGTGCAGTGCGCACACGTTACAACACCCCCAGAGTTTCACAACAGCACTCTGGTCACTCAGTGAAACCATAGCTAATCTTAAACTGCCAATTCATTATCATGGCCTCTAGTGAAAATGCTTTCACTAGGTGGAAATTTCACCGTTATTTTGTTATTTACAACAGAAAAGGAGAACAACATCACAGTACAGTGAAAGTTCAACCATCCATCCCCCTGTCTCTGGCCCGCGACATGATACCACAAATATAACATAATTACAGTTGTTTCATATCAATTTAAATAACCCCTTAATATATAATTAGAATAAAAACACAATTACATATATTTTTTTTTGGCCTTTTCATGGCTTTATTGGTTAGGACAGCTGTAGAGAGACAGGAAAGGTGG